ACTACTTTGATATCATTGATTTCTAGCCTCTTAAGCTGTATCTACTCATGAAGCTGGGTATTGAATTTGCCTCCACCACACTCTCAGCCAACTCTCTCCACTCGATATTAAAGTACTCTTTATCATTTATGATGCTTCTGTGACTTCTAATACCTGTGCTCCTTTCGCCCTCGTCCTCTTAATTCAGTCTATTCCAGTCTGACCTATCAATTCCTCTTAAAATTTTGTATGTCTTCCTTATTCTTCTTTGTTAAGGTCGTCAGATTTATGACTCACGAAATCGTAATAACACGACTGTAAACAAATCACAGAATGGGCGAGTTTAGGACTTACTTGTCACGAGTTTAAGTCTCTCTCGTTCTGTTATTCGTCAGGTTTAGTCCCTTCAGTCTCTCATGGTGCAGACTTGCTAGTTTTTGGACTAGACTAGTTGTGGATCGTTGGACTTTGTGTTGACAGTGTTCCTAGTAGGGAGTGTGTCATGGTTGTGTTGACAGTGTTCCTAGTAGGGAGTGTGTCTGGTTGTGTTGGCAGTGTTCCTAGTAGGGAGTGTGTCTGGTTGTGTTGACAGTGTTCCTAGTAGGGAGTTTGTCATGGTTGTGTTGACAGTGTTCCTAGTAGGGAGTGTGTCATGGTTGTGTTGACAGTGTTCCTAGTAGGGAGTGTGTCATGGTTGTGTTGACAGTGTTCCTAGTAGGGAGTGTGTCATGGTTGTGTTGACAGTGTTCCTAGTAGGGAGTGTGTCATGGTTGTGTTGACAGTGTTCCTAGTAGGGAGTGTGTCATGGTTGTGTTGACAGTGTTCCTAGTAGGGAGTGTGTCAAGGTTGTGTTGACAGTGTTCCTAGTAGGGAGTGTCATGGTTGTGTTGACAGTGTTCGAGTGTGTCATGGTTGTGTTGACAGTGTTCCTTGTAGGGAGTGTGTCATGGTTGTGTTGACAGTGTTCCTTGTAGGGAGTGTGTCATGGTTGTGTTGACAGTGTTCCTAGTAGGGAGTGTGTCATGGTTGTGCTGACAGTGTTCGATTGTCGTGGTTGTACGACAGTGTTCCTAGTAGGGAGTGTGTCATGGCTGTGTTGACAGTGTTCCTAGTAGGGAGTGTGTCATGGTTGTGCTGACAGTGTTCGATTGTCGTGGTTGTACTGACAGTGTTCCTAGTAGGGAGTGTGTCATGGTTGTGTTGACAGTGTTCCTAGTTGGGAGTATGTCATGGTTGTGTTGAGGGTCCGTGTGTTGTGTGGTAAGAAAGATGGTTGTGTGGATGTGTCAGTGTGAGAAAATTTTTAGAAAGTGCGTCCATGGTCAGTTGAAGTGTGTGAAAAAAAGTGTTATAGCACTCTTTATGGAACTGGGAGTGTCTTAATCAAGGTTTAGTTGAATGTGTCAGTGTGTGGCAAGTGTGTGAGGAGTGTATGATCATGGTGATGAGAATCAGTGTGGCGTAGAAAGTGCGTAAGGAGGGTGTGTCAGCACACCACGTAATCAAATTGTGACTGATGACGCTGGCACCAGAGTACGCGGTGATTAATGATGGTCACCAGAGAAATGAGAGTGTGCATGTACTAGCTGGTGGACGTTGTGTATTAGCTGGTGTACATGTTGTACTAGGTGGTGTACGTTCTGTACTAGCTGTTGTCCATGCTGTACTAGCTGTTGTCCATGCTGTACTAGCTGTGTCCATGCTGTACTAGCTATGCCCATGCTGTACTTGCTGGTGTACTGTACTAGCTGTACTTGCTGTATTACCTTTGTACATACTGTAGTAGCTGGTGTACATTCTATGCCAGCTGGTGTACATGTTCTACTAGATGATGTACATTTTGTACTAGCTTTTGTGCATACTACACTAGCTGATGTACGTTCTCTATTAGTTGTTGTACATTTTGAAATAGCTGACGCACATGTTTTACTAACCTGTGTGCATACTGTACTAACTAGTGCACGTGCTGCACTGACTGGTGTACATGCTGCACTGGCTGGTGTACATTATCCACTAGCTGGTGTGCGTTCTGTACTAGCCAGGGTGCATGCTACGGTAAGTGTACAAGCTGTATTAGCTGGTGTACATGCTGCACTAGCTGGTGTACATGCTGCACTAGCTGGTGTACATGCTGCACTAGCTGGAGTACATGCCGTACTACAGCTGGTGTACATGGTCTACTATAGCTGGTGTACATGACGTACTATAGCTGGTATACATGACCTATTATAGCTGGTGTACTTGCCGCACTAGCTGGTGTACGTGCTGCATTACAGCTGGTGTACATGCTGCACTAGCTAGCGTACATGCTACGCTAGTTGGTGTACATGCTGCACTAGCTGGTGTACATGCACTAGCTTGTGTACATGCTGCACTAGCTGGTGTACATGCTGCACTAGCTGGTGTACATGCTGCGCTAGTTGTACATGCTGCGCTAGTTGGTGTACATGCTGCACTAGCTGGTGTACATGCTGCACTAGCTGGTGTACATGCTGCGCTAGTTGGTGTACATGCTGCACTAGCTGGTGTACATGCTGCACTAGCTAGTGTACATGCTGCACTAGCTGGTGTACATGCTGCACTGGCTGGTGTACATGCTGCACCAGCTGGTGTACATGCTGCACTAGCTGGTGTACATGCTGCACTAGCTGGTGTACATGCTGCACTAGTTGGTGTACATGCTGCACTGGCTGGTGTACATGCTGCACTAGCTGGTGTACATGCTGCACTAGCTGGTATACATGCTGCACTGGCTGGTGTACATGCTGCACTAACTGGTGTACATGCTGCACTAGCTGGTGTACATGCTGCACTAACTGGTGTACATGCTGCACTAGCTGGTGTACATGCTGCACTAGCCGGTGTACATGCTGCACTAGCTGGTGTACATGCTGCGCTAACATGTACATCAGCTAGTGCACCTCTCAACTCACTTCATGCCTCATCTTTTACATTCAGGAAGTGCTAAACCCGTATGGATCCTACAGCGCCTGGGAAATGGGAGACAATCAGGTTCGATCCAGCGAAAGGGTGGGACAAATCCATTTCCATGGATCAAGAGCCTCCCTCTTCCCGCACCACCATCAAGAAACCTATCTTGAGGTGATGATTCTGTATATATATATATATATATATATATATATATATATATATATATATATATATATATATATATATATGTATATTATATATATATATATATAATATATATAAAGGCGTGTTTCTCATGTACTTTACAGTGAGCGAAACGTCAAGATTAAATCTTGTTGTACTTCTGTTTCTTTACTGTCCGAAACATTACTTCTACATAACTGCTGGAATGTAACAAATCTTAACCTAAGACATGTTTCCTTGTTTCACTGGCAATGTTTAGCGAGCAGGGAAAAAAAAAACAAAGAAAATACTCATTTTACTAAATTAATTTACCTATTAACAACCCACTAGTTTTGTTAGAGTGCTACGTGCATAAATGTTTTCATTAACATGATAATTTAACAATGTTATGGTTAACGTGACTGTTTATCACTGTCATTAAACATAAAATCTTAATGATAGTTTGTACATTAGAAGTTTCAAGTTTTGCCGCCTTTGAGTTTGATGGGTTTTTAACTTGGGTTGGTCTTAAACCTTGAGTAACATTACCAGAATAAATATGAAAACCTGGGCTCCTATGAGGTATCTTGGTGATATATATGAACCTGGTTTATCACATTACAGAAAGTGTGTTAACGAACTGGGCTTTTGCGTCTGGAGACCAGGCTGAGACTTCTTGAAACCAGGCTAAAAGTTCTTGGGATCAGGATAAAACTTTTTGAAACCGGACTGAAAGTTCTTGGAATCAGGATAAAACTTTTTAAAACCGGGCTGAAAGTTCTTGGGATCAGGATAAAACTTTTTGAAACCGGGCTGAAAGTTCTTGGGATCAGGATAAAACTTTTTGAAACCGGGCTGAAAGTTCTTGGGATCAGGATAAAACTTTTTGAAACCGGACTGAAAGTTCTTGGAATCAGGATAAAACTTTTTGAAACCGGGCTAAAATCTTGGGATCAGGCTAACACTTTTTGAAACCGTATTATAACTTCTAGACATCAGTCTAAAACGTTTCAAGACTTGTTGAAACTTACCATTAAACAGTTTATATAAACACAAACCATTATGTGGACTGGACTAACACCAAAAAAATACTTGCACTATTGTCGATTTTTTTTTCACTAAGCACTACACATGTTGAACTTAAGTTCGGTATCTACAAGACAATTTTCTAATTCAATATATAATTCAAAATGTAAAGAAAAATTATATTGTATGAAGAATTCATTCTTTGCAGAGAAATACTGATCTAATGTAACTTAGACAAATTAGCTTTTTTTTTTTTGTTTTATTGTACAAGATTATAGTATTTCATTGAACATTAACACATTTATGATTTTGTCATTGTAAAGCAGAGATCTATTTTTTATGTTTAAGGAAAAGAAATTCTTGAAGTGATTTTATGACCTAATTGTGAACTCTTAATTACTCTGTTCATTACCTTGTTATCCACCTTGTTCATTACCTTGTTATCCACCTTGTTCATTACCTTGTTATCCACCTTGTTCATTACCTTGTTATCCACCTTGTTCATTACCTTGTTATACACCTTGTTCATTACCTTGTTATCCACCTTGTTCATTACCTTGTTATCCACCTTGTTCATTACCTTGTTATCCACCTTGTTCATTACCTTGTTATCCACCTTGTTCATTACCTTGTTATCCACCTTGTTCATTACCTTGTTATACACCTTGTTCATTACCTTGTTATCCACCTTGTTCATTACCTTGTTATCCACCTTGTTCATTACCTTGTTATCCACCTTGTTCATTACCTTGTTATCCACCTTGTTCATTACCTTGTTATCCACCTTGTTCATTACCTTGTTATCCACCTTGTTCATTACCTTGTTATCCACCTTGTTCATTACCTTGTTATCCACCTTGTTCATTACCTTCGTTATCCACCTTGTTCATTACCTCGTTATCCACCTTGTTCATTACCTTGTTATCCACCTTGTTCATTACCTTGTTATCCACCTTGTTCATTACCTTGTTATCCACCTTGTTCATTTCCTTGTTATCCACCTTGTTCATTACCTTGTTATCCACCTTGTTCATTACCTTGTTATCCACCTTGTTCATTACCTTGCATTAGCACAAAGGTGATTAACAAAAGTTTCACAAGAGTCTCACTGATGACAACATGGCCAAGAGGATAAAAGTTAGAGCCTCCACCAATCCTTGTGCTGAAGGACCCACACGGGTTTACCACTTCACGAAATACAATCTACAGTAGCATGTTTAATACACTATTAAACTTCAGGTATTTTTTCTAATATTCACTTTAGACAATACAGTCACGAAACTGGGTTTTATGAATAATAGCATCGCATCGTTCTTAGAAAAACATTATTTCAATCTTTTCCTCCACTTAATCGTCTCGCTTCTCTTCTTCTTCCATATTTTTGTTTACTGTGTCCTCGTCCCTTGATTAGTATACACATACACACACACGAAAGAGTTCGTAACCTGGTACTTGGTCTGGAACTGGTTTACGGGTGACTTCCAGGTGTCCTGTAAACCTTGGTAATTGATATCGATAACTGGTTTAAAAGAAATATGTGGTTTAAAAGTTGACAGGGTCCCAGGACCGAAAGATTTTCCAGTAAATATGTCCTAGTGTTTGTCTATGAGTCTTAAACCAACCTTCAGAAAGCTTTGCATAACTGCGAACTCGACGTTTCTCTTGAAGTAACATTTCGCAAGGCGGTCGCAGGTGTGTGTCAAGCACTACTAATTTGCTGTCAGTTATATCTTTGTGGAAGCTGTGCCACATCCCGGGTATTTTGTTTTGCAGCAGGTGGCCAAGATGGCTGATTCTCTACCAGCTTGCAATGACACAGTAAATGCCTTTTTAGAACTATCTTTCGTTTTATGTAAAACTTTATCACGACCTGATAATATTAATCACTTGATAAAGTTCTAACGATAAAGTTTTACACGTCTCGATAAAGCTCTACACATGACGTGATGAAGCTCTACATATGATCTGATAAAGCTCTTCACATAAAGTTCTACACAGAGCGAGAAGTAGTCACAATAGAAGCTTCTATAACCTGTCTTTTATTTACTCTTCATTGTCAGTACGACATTTCGATCAGACTATTTCTTTAGTTGATCAAAAGACACCAGCACCATCAGTTGGCCAGAGGGGTCACCGCCCCACCAGCTGGCCAGATCTTCACCGCCCCACCATCTGAGCGGACAAAGACTTGTGAGACCTGGCCAAGGAGTCCAGTTTGAGGTCAAGCTGGTCGGTGGCGGAGGTAATACTGAGGTGTTGTCCCAGGAAGAATTTGATCCTTTTTTCCAGTTGTTCGCTCTGCGTCTCCAGGTGGCGAACCTCCGTCTGCAGCTGGTCTAGCCTAATCTGCAATGTGTCGAGATCGGTGAGGAACGAGGCAGAATTTGGGAGAAAAAGTTACTGGGATGGGAATAACGGATGTTTTGGGAATGAAAGGAGTCGCTGTGTTGATGCTATGGAAAGGAAATGAGAGGTGTTGATGTTCTGGGAAGTGAGAAAGGGAGAAGGTATTAAGGTACCATACCACGGACGGGGATAGAACCCGCGATCAGAGAGTCTCAAAACTCCAGACCGTAGCGTTAGCCACTGGACCAGCTAGCCACAATAAGATTCATCCAACTAGATATATTTCTACACCATAGGAAGGTTAGCATAGGCACCACTGTGATCACAAATGCAAGCTTTTACAGACGAATCTCCAGCTAGCGTGGCCGTGACGAACTCTAGCTCAAGTCCCCTCAAAACCGTCAACATGACTCACGAAATCATAATGACACGATTGCAAACAAACCATACCACGGACGGGGATAGAACCCGCGATCAGAGAGTCTCAAAACTCCAGACCGTCGCGTTAGCCAGTGGCCAGCTAGCCACAATAAGATTCATCCAACTAGGTATATTTCTACACCATAGGAAGGTTAGCATAGGCACCACTGTGACCACAAATGTTGAGTTTTGAGACTCTGATCGCTGGTTCTATCCCCGTCCGTGGTATGGTTTGTTTGCAGTCGTGTCATTACGATTTTGTAAGTCGTATTAAGGTACGTTTTGCGGAGGAAGTAAGTGATGATATTTTGGGAATGGTGGGAGGGATGTGTTGATGTTTTGGGAAGGAAAATAGGAATGTGTTGATGTTTTGGGAAGGAAAATAGGAATGTGTTGAAGTTTTGGGCAGTGAGAAATGGAGAGATGTATAGAAGTTTGGGGAAGGAAGGTATGGCTATGTTAATGTTTTGAGAAGTGAGATGTGCAAATATATAGTGAAGGGAGGGAGGGATATATTTATAGTTTGTGAAGGAAGGAAAACACAGGTGACATAGAATATTTGCCGTAACTTCACACATCTTAGAAGACTTAGAAGGAATATAAAACTAAAAATTACCGTTACTTTCAGCTGTGCATGCTTGAGTTGGACACAGGAAGAGTAACAAGGATGCAGTAACAGAAGGAAGAAGAGAGATGAACATAGAAACAATAATAAAAACGAGCAGAAAAATGCCTTCAGAGAACAAATGGAAGACTATAAATATATTCGCCATCGCTGATAAGTGCATAGTATCCCTTATGGGGAATTTGAATTATGATGAAAGTTATGTATTGATCGCAACTGAGGTAATAAATTAACGAAAGGAAGCAAGGAACATATCTGAGTAATAGTGACAAATTTTGGCTTTAATAACATTTCTAGTTTGGATCCGAGAAAGTGCAGTTTTGCGTGACCACATCTGAAAAATTACGAATAAATCTCATAATATCATGGATGGAGCAGTCCACTAATATTTCGCACTAAAGAGGAATATTCTAAACGACGTTTAAGCCAGGGCAGGATCATTATAAGTTACAGTTGACTTGATAATGGTCAAGAAGGGACCGAAACGTCTAACACAGCCTCTCCAGCGTATCGGTTAGTTAAGAATTTAAGAAATCGTATTGGCAAGCCTATGATGGCAAGAGCCGAGTGACAACGTGGATGAGCAGGTCAAATAAGGCTTCCAGAGGAAGTGAATGTGAACCGTCTTGCACAACGACAAGTGAAGCTGGGTAAATGTACTTAATCAACATTCATTAATTATCCACGCTTTATCATGCCACAAATAAAATGTTATGAAATGTTCCAGCAACAGCATTGCAACATTTAATCTTCATTTAATTAAAATGTTTAAAAAAACATGAGAGTCTTAGTCAAACGAATACTTTAATAGCACACTCAAACACATTAATGGATTTAACAGTAAAAACAAAATATTTCAGTTGAACAATGCGAAATATTTTGTATTTGAGTTGTCAATATGAAATAAGATGGGTAGAAGAGGCAATGAACCGATAGTTAAATGAGAAAGACAATGAAATAACGTTTAGCAAAAAAAAAGATACATCAACATAAAACTTCCATTAAAGTCAAACTTTATTTTATTAAACACTTGCTTTATTTCACGTGTTTATCAGTAAAAATACCAGAAACAGTACACGAGGAAGATAAGATATATTATATATATATATATATATATATATTATATATATATATATATATATATATATATATGTATATAGAATCATTATACTTATGGTATACAACAATAATGCAATATTTCTCTGATTTAGCAACACCGTGGAATCCTGGTACAGAACACGTCTTCTACAGCTCTATTGCTCACCTTTGGTCCAACATATGGGCATGACCTAACTAAACTGGTGGGTCCCGCCCACCTATGACGTTGTCTTCAACTGCTGCACCTGTCCTCTGGCTCTAGTATATAAATTTCCATCTTATGCATCTACCTTAGATTGATCAATGCTAAAGGACTGAACACCATGAAATTAGGTATACATTTCTTACACTGTACACAAATAATCCGCACATATGAGAAACTTATGACGACGTTTCGGTCCTGACGTGACTAGTTAATGGTGTAAGTCGGACCGAAACATCACATGTTTCTTCCTCCTATGTGCGGATTATTTGTGTATTGTTCCAGTCTCGGTATTGTGCCTTTTTCTTCTGCCACTGTCTACAGTACAAAATCAGTATGTTAGACTGAAAAAGGCTGCTGTGAAGGCGAGAAGTTTCACCACTGAAGATACCCAGGTACTGTACATGTGTCTTATTCATTTAAATATACATATTTAAAATATGAAAAAAAAAAAAATCTTTACATCCACGAATTAAACTTAGTGCAGGTAGCCTCGTCGATTTATTTATACAATTTTGCTTACTCAGTAAACCTGTGTAATTATTATGGACCCGTGAAGCCCTGCATTTCCGAAGTTATGACTCACTGACCAGGTGTAATTGTTATGAATTCGTGGTAAGACGAATTCGTGGTGTTATTACCATTTTTAACTGATATAATTATATGGACTTAAAAAAAAACATATTTTTTATATTATGGTCCAATGTAAGATATGAAATGCTTTATTTTACTTTGTAAATCATTTTGAATTAGATGGTGGTGGTCAGAAAGAAGTCTTCTGACGGTGGCTTGGCTTTCCAGTACAAAAATGAGGATCATCATTGTCTTAGATATCACAAAAATAAAGAGAAAGTTTCAGGTAAATGATATACAAAAATAGTGAAAACAAGATTTTTTTCATAATTATAGATGCGCGCGCCACACACACACACACACACACACACACACACACACACACACACACACACACACACACACACACACACAAATTGCAGCCGATATTAAAGCATATTTTGCAAGTCCAGCTTGGACGGGTGTCAAGGTAAACATCAGGGGTTATCTGAAAATCGGTATTGCAGCTTTCAGGAGATCATTGAAGTGGTTGATCGACTCATCAGGTTATCTGCTGAAATTACTGTTAACGTTGCAGCAAATCTGTAGTCATGTTGAACGTATTGTGAAGCCGTGTGTTTAATAATGTTGCAGTGATCATGAAGCATGTTGATCTGCATGCAACACGGCCACTTCCGGTCCATGTGTGTGTGTGTGTGTGTGTGTGTGTGTGTGTGTGTGTGTGTGTGTGTGTGTGGTGTTTCTGCTAGCTTCCTGCTATTTTTATATACTTCTTTTTTTCTTAGATTTTACCTCGTTATATTGACTACTGAATCATGGCTTCCCCAGTCTTATATATTTTCCTTAGTTCTTATACAACCTTGTCATTATTTTCTTTGCACTTGCAGGTGGAACACTATCTGAACTTCTTGTATTTTCCTCATTTTCATTACATCTCTCTTAATTGGGTTGCATTAGATCAATATTTTTTTTAAATTACTGTATCGTAGTCTGTCCATCTCCTCTGAGGTACTGTATTCTCCGAGGTATTGTACTCTCCTGTCCTCCTCTGAAGTATTGTATTTTCATGTCCTTCGTACGGTATTGTATTCTCCAGCCCTTTTCTGATCTATTGTATTCTCCATTTCTCTTTTGAGGTATTGTAGTGAATATTGTTGTCAGATACATCGACAACGAGTGGGAAAGTGTTTTGGGTATATTAACAATAAGGGGGAACGAAATGGGGAGAATTTTTACTGAAAAAAAAACTGGGCTGAGGTAAATTAGGAGGAGACTGAGCAGCAGGAGCCACTAGGAAAAGAATGAACTGTCGGAAGGTAAAGGGGAACAAACACCCTGGGTAGATGTAAACAGTGACTCGCTCTTCGCCGGACAGACTTATGCAATGTGCAAACAGGGCCTAGTTTCGCCCTTATGAGCCTGACAGAAAGGGAAGTCCAGCCACATCATCCCCTCACTCACTCCCCAACGGTTATATCCCCAGCCACACCTATCCTTACTCCCCAACGTCACATCCCCAGCCACACCTACCCTTACTCACTCCCTAACGGTCACATCCCCAGTCACATCTATCCTTGCTCACTCATGAAAACATGAGTGGGATACACTCATGCGGCCATAATTTAGTACTCACGAATAGCTATACTTCTACCTGATTACTTCATATCTACTGTCTACCTCTGTCTGCCACCATCTACTTCTCAACCCCTGCCTGATTCCGTCTACCCGTCTACCTCAGCCTGACTCGGGAGTCTTGCCTTTCTCCTCCGTCCTCAGGTAATGTTTTTTATCGATTTGTCTTCATTATTTACACGAGGGTGTGGTCGGCTTTCTCATTACTCCGTAACATAAAGCAGACGTCTTCCCTCTTCCCTGACCAATAATTTAAAAAACTTCAAGGTTTAGAACCTCTCCATAAATATAATGATACAACCAATAATATTTTATTTTATTTGCTACTACTGCAACTATTATTACTACTAATACAACTATTATTGCTGCTACTACTACTACTACTGCTACTACTACTACTGCTACTATCCCACCACTAATAGCACCACTACTACTGCTACTACCACTATT